GTGAAAATCTGCCACGTTCTACCTAATTTAATCTTAGGATTCTTTTTCTTAAAACAAATATACCAAAAGTTTAGGAAAACCATGATCTAGAGCTGCTGCTCAGAGCATAAGAAATACATGCTGGGTGGAGTTTGCTTTTCAGCATTTCATGATAACGTATTTGGAAGCTGCATTTTAAGGAGCATTTACTGATTTATCTTTTCTTCTACGTTATTCCTGGCTTCTGTAATACTGTTCCTGTGCTCATACTGATTGTCACTGTCATCTTGAATCACCTTTTTGAAGGAGGAGGACATCTAAAAATGACAGCAGAGTTTGGAAAATTAAGTTAGCAAACCAAAATATGAGCATGGGTGCATACGCAATACCAATTGCAGATTAACTGCTACTATCTAAAACGTTCCCGACTCTACTTGGGTTGTTACTTGCCTTTTACTTGAGTTTATGTTGTCTGAATGCCTTCCACTGGGTAAAAGAGCTATTCATTGCCATGTGAAACTCCACAGGAACATATCAAATAATACATTAGTAACATTCCTGACAACAAAAGGCCACGGACATGAGAAACATGTCATGACAAGATTTTGAAAACTGTCCAGCTTTCAAGACAAACACATTGGGCAGAATACAGAGGCATACTGTTACTGATGTCCTGTTGCAGGACGAGGCCTATGTTAAGAAATAAAGCATCCTACATATGACATTGATCCTAGAAACAAGAATGAAATCTAAAGATACTTCTTAGATCAGTAATGAAACAAATCCTTACTTCAATATGTGCATACACCACCTCTGTGACATCAGTAAGTTGCTAAGCTAGTAATACTGAGCTGACTTGACTTAATATTGTGAAATGTGATCAGATAACTGAAGCTGTATGTTGTTTTATTTGCTTAAAGGTAAAGAGCAGAAACCGGTGTATCCTGAGTAGTCAAAATGCTGCTTATTACAAGTAGATCCAGCAACAGTCGGGGGGAGAAAAAAACAAAACACCAAACAAGCATAAGCTGGCAGCACTTCATACAAACAGAATCCTGTTTGGATTTTTCTCATGAAGCTGCAATAGCTCTTTGGCTTTAATTTGATCTTCACAGATGTAGCCTCAGACCAGGGTAAACGGGTCATGTAAAATAAACCACTGTTTTTCAATAGGGCTACACAGGGGGCATTTGGTATCACTAGATTTAAGACTCTATTAAATAAAATGCGTGCATCAGCCTATGAAAGTAGTTTTTCATCATAAGCTTAGCCTGGCATACAATTTGGAGACCATTATATATGAACCCTGAGGGAGAGAAGATTAGGTTCCAATATTTTGACTGCAGAATGCTAAGTCTAAGTCATCAGAATCTCAAACTGTTTCAATGACCACAGTTATTTTTTATTTTTGGAAGTGGATTATTGATGACACATCCCTACCGCTCTAGGCATGCGACCTCAGCTGTCGGCACATTCCTAGCTGCCTAGCTACAAAACGCATCTGATGCTTATTTGGTCTCTTGGCTGTGTTGGTTCATAGCCTTGCAGCAGTTAAGGATTTTGTGCTCACTTTGGCCATTTGACTAGTCTCCTACATTACAGTATGGCTGCTAAACCTGAACTTGGAAGGTCAGTATTAGTCGTACTTGAACATCCTTGGAAATTCTTACTCAGCAACATACCTCTTCCTGAGTAGGTATCTTTACAACTAACACAATCCCTTGTCCCCACCCCCTCACCAGAAAAAGCAGCCAACAGCATAACACCCACACAGCATGACAAGGAACAAAGCAGCAGCGTGCCACATTGCAGCTGGCTATTGAAAAGCACAGCAGCAAGGACAATTTTGAAGTGGACAATATCTCAAGGAGGATACCAGATTCTCTTTTAACTAACTCATGTCACCATCATATATATCATTTGAAAAATCACTACTTTTCAGCACTAACTTGCAGCAAGAAAAATCCAGATTGTTTTTGTCTGCTTCCGATTGCTCAGTGTAATTACCAGCACGTAAAGTCTAGAGATAGGACCATGAAAAGAAGTTGAGAGACCCAGCATTCACAACAGAACAGAAAATTAACCTGCCAAATTTTACATCATTTAGACAAAGGGGGGGGGGAAATTAAGATAGTATTCCAACATCCATTGTTAATGCAGGCTGCTTACATATACAGACATATTCAATTGCACAGATGTGACAAGATCAGCCCACAGAAGTGGCAGGGTAACTGTTCTTCAGTTTAATGTTACATAGCAACATTTAAGCAATACTTTTTTTTTTTCCTCCTAGATCTCAACATTGTTTACTTTGTGATAAGGGCATTGTAGTTGAAACATTTGTGTTTGTAATCTGGCTTCTAAAATAACATGCTATTGCTAGAATCTTGCAGATGTTCAAAGGAGATGTACAATGGCAATAGCATGAACACAAATAGTTTAAAAACAATCCTTTGAAAGAACGAACAGATGTAGCAGTCTGAACTATTACACTGAATACGGACAGTCTAGGTAGGCAGAAAAAAGAAACTGAGGGGAAGTGCTAGTTAGCAGATAAAACACAGTTGGAATAAGAACGCGAGAAAACTTATTTTAGTTAAGCCTATAAGTTGAAGAAAACGGGGGGAGGGGAGAAGGAAATATCAAACTCAGACTCCCGAGTATATTTTGTAAAATTAACTTTTCGCAAAGCTAAAGTGAGATTATCTTCAAGAGCAGCCATGCTGTGAACACAAGATTAAGGAAACCAAAGCCTTCAATGATACTAAATAGCAAGTCAGACAAACACTACTGCATATATTTACATCCAGGAACATTTCATGCTGTCCCAACCTTTATAAATCCTTCAGTGAAGGCAAAATTCCTATTACTTTTGGCCTTTAAGTCATGGGAAGTAGGGGTTCCTGCTTAAGAGGTCATCACTTTATCTTGCTTAAATATGTAACAATTAAATTCTCCTTGTGTTTTTAGCCTGTAGCAGCCAAAAGAATGAGACCTATGCAAAGATGAGGCCATTTTGAGAACCAAGATAATGAACTTTCTTAGGTTTTTAGTTTTCAGGACAACAGCATCTGTATAGCTGTTTTTGTAGGAATGCATTATTTGCTTAACAGCACTTTTATTAATGACATGTAGCAGAGGAAAATGTGCAATCATTTAAGAAGCAAGGAGGACCTTTTCTCAAGTAAGGTTTTACCAAGTTAATTCTCAGAAATAGTTTGCCCTCTTTCTCACAAAGGCATTAGCTGCAGAACAATAAAGCTTTATGTAGGTTTGCTGACCAAGTATTGCTGTTAATTACTGCCAGCACAGACACTTTACTCAGGGAAAAAAAATCCTTTATACAAGCTTCCTTCAATGGGAAACAGGGGGTGGCAATTCCCACATATTATCAGCTTAAAAACTTAGCAAACAGCAGCGTAAACTGGGACATGAAAATATCCCTGATCATCTGCAACCTTAAGAGAAAGAGCTAGGCAGGGTGTCTACATGTTTAATAATCATAAATGAACTTTGCTACAATTGCCCAGTGGCCGGTAATCTTCCCCAACCATTTATTTGGCTAAATACATATGCTAATCAGATTCCACTTCAAAAACTGAGATAGCAGATTTCTATAGTTGTGTTTTTAGGGATACCATTACTTACTGCTAGGAGTATTTTCTAACTTTGTAACACTGAGCAAATGAGATGCTGGAAAACTCGCTTTCACTTTGTTGTGCAACTGAAAATCAAGTATCATTAACACAAACTTCTATTACCTATTTACAAATGAAGGTATTTCCCCACAGAATAATTTGAGGTATTGACAAAATTTGAGGTATTTTATCTATATAGCAATCTTTATTTCAAAATGGCGTTCATTACAAAAATGTAAAAATCCAGCTAAACCAGAAACATTGAGATTATTTTCCTGGGCTTTCATGTTCACAGATCTTTGTCCCTATATCCTTTTCCTCACAATATTTTCCCCGTTTCCAGTCTGATTACACAGGTGCAAGTGTGCCTAGATGGCCTGGAATAGATAAATACATTGAGAAAGGCAAAAGCTGTAAAGCTAAATGCATGCAACAAGTTCTACCAGGAAAAAAACCCTCAGAAATAAACATAAGTGAAAAGTAAAGAGATATCTGCAGGTATCAGGAGTTTTGCTCAGTCATCCTTGTCTTTTGCTCCATGTTTAAGGATGCGTGTGAACTCAATGTAGTTGAAATTCCCCTTTTTGTCAATTGGTGCCTCCCTGTACAGCTCATCTACCTCTTCATCTGTAAACCTGTCTCCCATAGTCGTCAGCAGCTCTCTCAGGTAGTCTTCTTGAATAAACCCTAGAATGCAGTGTGGAGAGGACATTAAAAAGTTGTTACATTTACAGGCTAACAGCAGGATTTTTTTTGTTTTTGAATCATCTCAAACAAAACCTACTGGCTTTGCTGCCCCATGAAAACAAAGCCTGTTTACAATTTAAGTAAATATTTATTCAGCGATAACACACACAAGACAGTCGACATATACATTCAAGAAAGCAAAGCTGATGTTCACAGCTGTACTTAGTAAGAGTGGAATATAACCATAATTGCTAAATAATTACTAGCATTCAAGTCAAGTCTCATAGCTAATTTGCATGGGTCTCACTACTTAAATAACTTCCATTTGCATGTGTCCTTTCAAAGAATATACAAATTTGTTAAAATATACAGATCAGATATTCCTCCCCATAGAAGGCCTATACTCCCAAATAGTACTGATAGCCTTTTAGCAACTGTGTATTCTACACAAAGGGAATTCATTTGCATTGACCCTTCCTAATGAAGGGCACTGAATAAAAACGGATCAAACTCAGTGTATGACATTCTGCACAAAATGTTTTCAGTATTTCAACATTGGTAACAGAAATTCTCCATAAAGACCCCACAGTTTTGAAGACAATGGGTAGGCCCCATTCAAAAGCTGCCCCTAAGCTGACTTTAAAGTTAAGAAAAATTTAAGATCATGGTTCTTGATCAATGTGTTTTTTCTTCCCTATTGTCTTGAAAAACAGAATGGAAGTGGGAGAAGTCTTGGACTGCTGTGTTTAAAAAGGTAATTTCAGTTACTGAGTAAATGAGAGAATTTTTAGCTGGCAAAAATTAGAATTTTCAGAATTAAATTTTATACTGCAACTTTATGAATATAATTATTGCTACAGATAAAGCAAAACATGCACACTGTTGTTTTATCTACTTACCTGTCGCTTCCTCATCAAAACAAGCAAAAGCATTTCTGATTACATCTTCTGGGTCCGTGCCATTTAACTTCTCTCCAAACATTGTGAGGAACATAGTGAAGTTTATGGGACCTGGAGCCTCATTCATCATGGCATCTAGGTATTCATCTGTTGGATTCTTCCCTAAAATGAACATACACATAACTTAAAAAAAAATTCAAGATAAGAGCAGATGGGTGAAGAAAAGTGTTAATTTATATAGGTGGCATCTTTCATAGAATTTTGTCAAGCTTTTTCCACAGCTGATTTAAAGTCATGGTAACAGCTCCCACACAGACCAACGCAATGAGCTAGCAAATGTTTTGATTTATACATGAGAGTTGTTAGCTTGATAGATAAGTAGCAGAACCCCTGCCCCCTCCCCCACCCCCCAGACATTACCAAGGGAAGCAAGCATATCATGCAAGTCTTCTTTGTCAATGAAGCCATCCCTGTTCTGATCAATCATGTTGAAAGCCTCTTTGAATTCTTGAATCTGCGACTGATCAAACATTGCAAATACATTGGAAGTGGCACGCTGAGGGCGCTTCTTGGTGGTCTTCGTCTTTGCCCTTTTGCTAGACATGTTGGCTGTTGGTTCTAGAGAGACAGAAACAGGTCTAAGATTTAGCCTTATTAATGAGACTACAATTTTTTAAGAGGGGAGTGGATGAAGGAATATCAAGTTCCAGATTACAAACAAAGATGCCAAAATACACACTTATTTGATATCTTCTCTTGTATTTTCTTTTATTTGGACCTAACTTGCTACTGAGCACGTTGTCTTTTACGATTCAGAGAGACAGCATGGTAGGCCAACAGCAACATTTAAAAACTAAATGAACTACAAGGAGTTTCAGAAGAAGCATACTCAGTGCTTCTATTTCTGGTTCAGTATCTATCTGCATTGCTAACAAATTAAGAAGAGGGTATATCTAGCACATTAGGAGGCACTGCTGACCTACCATGTAAAAAGTCCTGCTCACCTGGCATAGTAATTAGTGGTTAAGTAAATCAAGTAGTAAGTCAAACTAACATGGCAGGGGGAGGGGGAAGAGAAGTATTTTCAACTCTGAATTACATTTTGTTAGAACAGCTGCTGTTAAAGGAACAGTATGTCAGTATGTCTCAGGACACAGAACGACCCTGAAGAAAGCCTAATGTTTTTGTGAAGGTTTCTGAGCAAGGAGGTAGGAGAAGGAGAGAGAAAAAAAAGAGAGAAGAAAAAACCCACTGATTTAATTCAAAAACAAAACACTGCAATGTTTGTCACACAATTAGACTGAACTATTACAGTATATTTGCATATGTATTCTTTTTTGAATAATTAGTGCCACAATTTAAAACAATCTTTAGATTTTAGGGTTTTTTCATCTCTATGTTAGTTAACTGTTTCTGTTTAGCTGGGAAGATTACCTATTGTTTAACTACTGATGATAGTACAAATACAAAAAAAATATGATTCACTGAAACACAAAGACCTCAGTATTGCTGCTGGACCAACACAAGGTAGCCCTTGTTTACCAATGATTCTAAAAGCCTTCTTGTATACATCTAGGCCTTAATTTTACCTGATGTAAATAAATAAACAAAATCCATGCTACTATAATCCTTTCTTCAGTTTGCTCAAATCAAGCATTACCCAAACCAGATTCCTTTCACCCTTGATTCTGGGAGTAAGCAACTGTGACATCTGATTAGGAAGAATTTAAGTTTCACTTGTAGTCACAAGAGTATCAACATTTTGTAGGTTCCAGCGTATTACCAATCATCAATCAACATAGATTTTTTGGTTTAAATTATGTGATCATAAATACAATTCTAGATAGAGTCACAAAACAATCCTAATCATTTCTCAGTTTGCTCACAGTTACTAGCTTTTCAAGAGTCCAACTGAAAAGAAAGACCAAAATCACTAACTTTGATTCATTCTTTAAAAAAAAGAATGAAAATAAAGCAGATTAACTACCTTAAGTCAATTGATTCAATACACATGCAAAAAAAATTTTTTTTTTTAATTTTAAATCAAAAGACAGATATTTTACCTTGCTTTGTATCAGATACAGAACATGCTGTACCAAGCATCTGGATCATAAATGGGTATTCCATAGTTACGTCCTTCTCAGGAGGCCTGCAAACACTGTTACTCTTTTCCTCTGCTAATTCTGCACTTAAATCTTACGTTCATGTACAGCGTTCTTCTGACGTATAAAACAATTATGTGCTGAACTAAAAATAGTATACGAAATGCAACTGTGCATCATTCAACAACATCGAAGTTCTCTTCATTACATTCACTAACCACAAGCTCTTTGCAATGTTTGGACTCCAACAACACTTCAGCAAATAAATATGAACTCCTGACAGCTAAATACACACTGAGACAGCTCATAATAAATATGAACTCCTGACATCTAGATATGCATGAAGACAGCTGACAACAGAGGTAGTTAGCTTTCAAGCTGTAGTCAAGAGTTGTGCATAACTTCAGTCTTTTTCTTACCTCAGCAGAAACAATCACACAAGTTACTGTTAAATTCTGAATTACTGATTAAAAGTTCTACTACCCAAAATAGGGTCGGACATATCTGTTAACAATTGTTCCCTGAAATGATTCAGTTTTCAGGATATTGACTATTCACAGTAAATTTGAAAAGTTTACTTTGTATGCAATTTAAGGCAGTACTAACAGCAAGCCCAGAAAGCTGCTACCTGCAATTTTCTCGTGTACAATTCAATTCTAAGTGAGAAGAGGTAACAAAAGCTGGGTGCTCTTGTTTATAGCTATCCATGGTGGAAAAGAATACTTTTTTTTTTAAGTTCTGTTCAGAAGACTACTATATCAGAACGTCATACTCAAATGAAAATGCAGTGGTAGTAATGTTTGTATTACTATTTTCACAATTTCTCATAAACCAGACTTTGGAGGTAACTATACAGAACATGGAAGGCATGACTCTTGCACTAGGAGGCCTACGGGTATCATCCTGCTTATAGAAAAACATAAGATGTCACAAGATTGTAGCATGTTTCAGCACAAATTGGTGCAGCTATGCTTGAAGTACTACACAGAGCATTAGGATCCTCTTTATAAGAAATGGTTGACAAACTGGAATATGTTCAGAAAAAACAAGGAAACCAATCTAGTGAGACAGAGATTGATATATGATGCAAGTTTCAAGGTTTTTTAGTGTTATGTCTGTACGTAGAACAGAGAAACACACCATCGTGAGAACTAACCTCATTTGAGTCAAGCACAAGACTCACTAATTTCAACAAGAATACGATTTCATCTGATAAATCCACAGGCCCCTCCCCCTCTTTTTTTCTTTTTTTGAAAAAGCATACTTTTGGAGCTGAAATAGGGTAACTAGGTTGAAAAAAGGAAGATTTCAGCTGATAAAAATGGAAGTATTTCACACTGGATAGTACGAATCATGACAGGCAGATTTAGTCACAGCTTAATACTACAATGCACTGAACAGTCTGGGCCTTGTTTTGGAAACTGTTCAAGAAACTTCTAGTGTAAGGATCTTAATTTATGAGACTTACCTACATTTCTGACATCATAACCTTCATTTTGGGTAATCCCCCCCCCCCCATATTGAAAAATTTGTAAGTTGCAGACACTGGACAAGAGAGGCAGTAATAGCACTATGTCATTCTATGCTGCTCGTTCTATCCTTTGCTTAGTCAAACAATAGCAATGAATATCAAACTGCAGAAGCACAGGAAGTCATCTCATGCTCCTCACCTCTGGGAAAAAGATAAACTCCAGAAACCTAGTGGCCAATGAGTTTGAGCCAGGCAAAAGATGCGGGACTTTACATCCTGTTAACAGCAGTGAAATTTGGATCTGTTTAGAATGACCAAGAGTTATGCTTTAGAAAACAGTCTAGCTTTTAAACACAGGTTTTCTAACGATGTGAATGCCTATCACTCAAAAATAATTTAAAAAGCTACTGAATATTGTAACACTGCCAAACATTTGGGAAACTTATTAAACTGCGATGATTGAAGAGGACTACTATATCCAATTCAAAAGTCAAGCTCAAAGGTAAATCCAAAGTTCTATTAATGTAATTAGTTGCAACATCAGGTATAATCAAGCACCCACCGCGGTTTGGGTGGCATCAGAAAGAGCTGAGAAGAGCAGGACACGCTCCAATAATCTGTGGCAAAGCTCATTAAAGAGCAGATTACACTTCAAAAACTATGTAGTCTCACCTAGCCTTGAAAGCCACCTTAAGACATTCTTCAGTAGCTTTTTCTTAAACCCTAACAGAGGTATCATCAAGCCTGCCTTAAAATTCAGTCGCTGTGACTCAACAAAGCCTTTGCTTACAAGTTAGAGAATGAAAATCACTATATACTAGTGTAATAGTCTCCTTGCAGCCAGGATTATTTCGAAAGATAAATGTACTCTTTCTTGCCTGCGTTCTCTTCTGCTAAGCCACTTTTTCCAACTACACAAGCTCTCAGGCTTGTCCTTCCTCACCCCTAACAACGGCGAGCACAGGGCTGAAAAGGGATTTAACGCGGCTGAAACGCTGCGGACCGCTTCCAGCGGCACCATCCCACCCA